CGACGGCATTAATCATTTTCCTCCGTCCCTGGTGATTAAAGTCTATTCAAAGACATTTCTGAAGTTACATAACGTGATATCAGTGCTGCAGTGGAGCACGTTGAACAGATCCAAGTGTTTGACTCTCTCACTTCACTACTGTACGTTTTTAGTTCTGCATTAAGTGTGATTTCATGTGCTCTTATTTAATGTGAGGTCCAGAGGCAAGAGATTCAAATGGACGATTGTTCAAAATGATAATGCATTCTGTTTAAGGAATGAATCTGGCCCGGCTTCTCCGGCAATAAATCATCAAATGGCAGTTTCCTTACCGCCCCTAATCTGTTACACCAGGCTGTAAGAGCAGTGTCTTTCATTTATTGGAAAATGATTGATGTATAGCTGCAGCCTGTGTGGGCCTCAGACAGGCAAGATAAACCAATTTAGAAAGACAGAGGAAGTCCTGCTCTCACCGCGGTGGGCAAGGTAGAGTCACCGACTCAGGGCCAGAATGTGAACACTTGGAAGTCGCAGCTTGAATTAGGTTCTAATAAATGATCCTTCAGGTAAAACTGAGAGGCTGGGAGGCTAAGTGTGCAAGTGAAGTGGCTCAAGGACAATTGGAGCCTAAATGGGCTTCTGAGAGCACGCAATGATGGGACGACATTGTTAAAATGTCATATAGAGGCTTTTTAATGCGCGGTGCTACAGTGGAGGGATGGTGACTGTGATGGTATGTGTTGTCATAACCATGTGGCTTTATGCTCCTTTTTTCCCCAGGGAATGGATGGACGTGCTTAGCCCTCCGATCATGCCTGCTCGTCAGCCCGGAAGGTCAGGGAACACGCCCAACGATTGGGGAAATCTTGGCGGCGGTACGGTAACCTTGCTCCAGTCCTTTCGCCTCCAGACACCTTTTGTGTCCTTTGAAATGTGAGCGATGGCAAACAAGCCCGTGTTTAAACATTAAGCACAGTAATTGCACAAATGCCTACAAGTAATCGAAGCTGTCTCCGGTGTTGGAGTTAAATGCTAAGTGGTAAGTTTCTGCCGGAGACTTCACAAAGTGGGATAGTGCGGTATGTGGAACTGGTCCTAATTAAGAGTTAAAAAAAAAAAAAAAAAAAAAAGGAAAGGAAAGACAGAACCCAGGAGAGTGACGCTCTCTGTCCTCCATATAACTCCATAGGTCAAAAGAGACAGGCTCATTACAGGTCCGTACCCTCCAGACTCACGGACAAGGTTAATTGATGAAACCTTTCCAGTTTACAGCATCATTTTAAAAACCTCTTACACAATGTGTCTTATAATTAGTTTTCATTATCATTGCCCGAGTTCTGATAAGATAAAACGTTCCTCTCGGAGCATCCTCTAACCTTTTTAACGTCTAACTGTCTGACAGCTTAACAGCTGAATTCCCATGCTTTAAAGGAGTGGGGATTACAGGGAATCTCTTTACAGCGTTATAATGTGGTAGCAGCTCTGGCTGTCTTAGGTCTGGACTGAGGAGCCAAATAATGACAGGAAGTGGAGGTTTTAAAATTCTCCAGACTTCTCAGGTCAACTCACATGGTGCACTCGACTTGATACGAGGTGTTAGCGCCGGCTCAGTATTTGTATGTATGAGTTGGAGTCAGTGAGGGTAAGACAAATTGAAAAAAAAAAAAAGATTTTATTTCTCTGCTTATCCTTCATTTGAGGATAAGTGTGTGACGGAAAAATTTCATCAGATTTTTTTTTTTTTTTTTGGTTGAATTCTCGTGAACGTCAACTCACAGCCTGCGTCTTTATCTTCAAGGACCGAAAACCAGAAAAACAAAAATCAGATGGAGCTCGATCAGAACCTGGTGCTAAACTTTCAGTGTGAAAATAGTGCCCTCTAGTGGCTGTCAGCGTGAAAATAGTGCCCTCTAGCGACTATCAGTGTGAAAATAGTGCCCTCTAGTGGCTGTCAGTGTAATAATAGTGCCTTCTAGTGGCTATCAGTTTAAAAGTTAGATCCAGTGTTTCCATCACCCACCCCCTAGTGGTTGCTGTAATACAGGGATCCCCAACCCCCGGGCTGCGGACCGACAGCGTGCCGGTCTGTGGGTCAATCAGTTTTGGGCCATGTTCATGTAACCAAGTGATTTTCTGACTTTGTTTCAGGGGGAGACGGGCGTGTGAAGGAGGAGGAGCCGGAGGAGGAGGAGTATTTGAATCTGCTCTACGACGCTTGTCTCAACTGTTACTTCGACCCAAAGACGGGAAAATACTACGAACTAGCTTGACCAATGGCTGAAGAGGATCCTGATGAATCATTTACCAGTCACTGAGTCCATTTTATACTAATCCTTTTCATCATCATCATCATCGCCGCCGCTGCTCTGGTTGTTGGAAAAAAAGTAACTGGAACTTTTTTTTTTCCCTGCCTGTGGAGAAACAATGGCGTCACGTCAGCGAAGGAGGAAGTAGCACTCCATGATCTGTGCGACGAGCGGAGCTATCGCTCTCTCTCTCTCTCTCTCTCTCTCTCTCTCTCGCCCCACCCCCAGTGAAGAGGGGGGAAAAAAAAGAAAAAAGGCTTTGAAAGAATAAATTGTTCTAAAATATAGATTCAAACGTGTGTATTTAATATAACTTCATTAAAACGGCAGCTCTTCTGTCTCATTGTGTTTACCTTGGTTTTAATTAACTGAGCTGCAGCAGCTGAGCCGCTGCTCTCTTCACCGTGTTCAATAACCCGCCACTCCAACACCCCCTCTCTCCCCTCACCCCCCCCCCAAAAAAGGGAAAAAGAACTTGTAATATGAAGATGAATGTGTAATGCATTTCTTTTTCCTTTGTAATGTTATAATTATCACTTTCACAGATGCTCGACGACTCGTCTCTGTGACCGTCCACCGCCGCCGGAGCCAAGCTCACGGGAACCGGCAGCTCTTTTCATCCGTTGGCACCTGAAGAGCAGCTGATACACATCGGCATTTGATCATTTTCCAGCTCCACATGTTGTTGCTGCTCCAGAATGAACCCGACCATAACTGGACCTGAAGAGGAGCCGGCGCTTAACCCAACAAACCGACTGGACAAACGTACTCCATCAGAGACAGAACAGGTAGACATGACATCACTGACCTGCCACAGACCTTTCTTCTTCTGATTCTTCTTCTTCTTATCTGATTCTGATTCTTCTTCTGATTCGTCTTCTGATGATTAGTCTTCTTCTGATTCTTCTTCTTCTGATTCATCTGATTCTGATTCTTCTTCTGATTCGTCTTCTGATGATTAGTCTTCTTCTGATTCTTCTTCTTCTGATTCTTCTTCT